GGTATCGCTTGTGGCCCACAATTTGTTACGTTTTATACCATACAGTCTGGTATCGCATATGGGTCGCAGTTTGCAATACGTTTCGTTATATACCATACAGTCTGGTATCGCTTGTGGCCCACAATTTGTTACGTATTATACCATACAGTCTGGTATCGCCTGTGGGTCGCAATTCGCAATACGTTTCGTTATATACCATACAGTCTGGTATCGCTTGTGGCCCACAATTTGTTACGTTTTATACCATACAGTCTGGTATCGCTTGTGGCCCACAATTTGTTACGTTTTATACCATACAGTCTGGTATCGCATATGGGTCGCAGTTTGCAATACGTTTCGTTATATACCATACAGTCTGGTATCGCTTGTGGCCCACAATTTGTTACGTATTATACCATACAGTCTGGTATCGCCTGTGGGTCGCAATTCGCAATACGTTTCGTTATATACCATACAGTCTGGTATCGCTTGTGGCCCACAATTTGTTACGTTTTATACCATACAGTCTGGTATCGCTTGTGGCCCACAATTTGTTACGTTTTATACCATACAGTCTGGTATCGCATATGGGTCGCAGTTTGCAATACGTTTCGTTATATACCGTACAGTCTGGTATCGCTTGTGGCCCACAATTTGTTACGTATTATACCATACAGTCTGGTTCGCTTGTGGGTCGCAATTTGTAATACGTTTCGTTGTGTACCATATAGTCTGGTATCGCTTGTGGCCCACAATTTGCTTGGTTCGCTTGTGGGTCGCAAGTTTATAATACGTTCCGTTGAGTACCATACAGTCTGGTACCGCTTGTGGCTCACAATTTGCTTGGTCCGCTTGTGGGTCGCAAGTTTATAATACGTTCCGTTGAGTACCATACAGTCTGGTACCGCTTGTGGCCCACAATTTGCTTGGTTCGCAAGTTTATAATACGTTCTGTTGAGTACCATACAGTCTGGTACCGCTTGTGGCTCACAATTTGCTTGGTCCGCTTGTGGGTCGCAAGTTTATAATACGTTCTGTTGAGTACCATACAGTCTGGTACCGCTTGTGGCCCACAATTTGCTTGGTCCGCTTGTGGATCGCAAGTTAATTTTGTAACACGTTCCGTTGAGCACCATACAGTCTGGTACCGCTTGTGGCCCACAATTTGCTTGGTTCGCTTGTGGGTCGCAAGTTTATAATATGTTCTGTTGAGTACCATACAGTCTGGTACCGCTTGTGGCTCACAATTTGCTTGGTTCGCTTGTGGGTCGCAAGTTTATAGTGCGTTCCGTTGAGTACCATACAGTCTGGTACCGCTTGTGGCCCACAATTTGCTTGGTCCGCTTGTGGGTCGCCAGTTTGTAATACGTTCCGTTGAGTACCATACAGTCTGGTACCGCTTGTGGCCTACAATTGCTTGGTCCGCTGGTGGGTCGCAAGTTTGTAATACGTTCCGTTGTATACCATGCAGTCTGGTACCGCTGGTGGCCCACAATTCGCTACGTTTTATACCATACCGGTTGGTCGCTTGTGGGTCGCAAATTGTCATTCGTTCCGTTGTGTACCATACAGTATGGTACCGCTTGGGGCCCACACTTTGCTACGGTTTATACCATACGGCAAGGTATCGCTGGTGGGTCGCCATTCGCATTACGCTGGTTAAGGCTGTTCCTTGGAGGGGTGATGGTTCATCACCCTTGGTGGTCTGCTCAAGATACCACTGGCATGGATCTTAACCCGAGTCCAAGTAACAGTAGTGCCAGTAGTCGTTCCAGGCCACCCCTCGGTCACCCGGGCTAACACCTCACCATCCAAACGGGTAAGTATGGTGAACGAAGGTGTTAAATGAGGTTATGCAATAACAAAGGTTAACAGCTAGGGAACCAAGCCTCGTTACGTCGGCACATCATGTGACCAAAAGGGGGCCGAGCGAGTATGTAATAAGAGGTTGGCCGCGCATTGGTGGTATTAGTAATCATTGTGCGTTGGAAGCGTAGTAAACGTATTAGGAACAAAGATTTTTTTTTCTCTCCTGTTCTTTTATATTTCCACCAATTGTTAATTGGTGTGAAGGTGTTAGCCCTGCGGGGGTGGTCTGCTCAAGATACCACTGGCATGGATCTTAACCCGAGTCCAAGTAACAGTAGTACCAATAGTCGTTCCAGGCCACCCTTCGGTCACCCGGGCTAACACCTCACCATCCAAACGGGTAAGTATGGTGAACGAAGGTGTTAATTCGTTTATAAACTAAGGTACAGCGGTTTATGTAGGCCTCGATGTAGAATGGCAGCCAACCGAGCGTGTTAAACAGATCCACAGAACAGCCTCTACGATCAGCATCCAATATTACTCTTGCAGCTCGTTTTTGCAATTTGAGCGCTCTTTGTAGATCATCTTGTTTGCAGGAGCACCATACAGTACTACCATAGAGTAAAACAGGTTTGATTATTGCAGAGTAATATATCTCACGTTGTTTTTGTTTCAAATATGGACATATATGGCGAAGAAGACCAACGCGTTTCGATAACTTCTTGCATAGCTCATCGATTTGGGTGGTAAATGACAGGTCTTGATCCAAGCTAACACCGAGTAGTTTGTAACTGAGTACTTGTTCAATTACAGCGTCATTTAGTTTAGCATCTATAGAGATGGAAAAGGTGCTGGTGTTATTTCGAATGCGTTTACCAGCGATTAACATTGACTTTGTTTTTGACGTGTTTATAACCATGCCATTTTCATTACACCATCTCTCTAAGCAGATCAAATCTTGGTTTATCATTCGAGTTAAAACAGGCAATTTGTCGATACTTCCACTTCTTGCTAAAGTTGTGTCATCGGCATAAATTTCTACATTTGGGTCAGACATATGAAGAGGCATATCGTTTATAAATGTAATGAACAACAACGGTCCGAGGATCGATCCTTGCGGTACTCCTTGTGATACCACTTGACAAGTGGATACACATTCATTTAATTTAACAAACTGTTTTCCGTCGGATAGATACGATGTAAACCAGGCAATTGATGATCCGTCTACCCCATAAATTGCAAGCTTTTTCAGCAGAGTTTTGTGATTTATTTATAAGGTCGAAAGCCTTTTTAAAGTCAATAAATGTCAAACATGTAACCTTATCGTCATCCATGTTAAAAAGGAATCCATCAACAAGGTTTATTAATGCTGTCTCTGTCGAGTGGTTAGCACGAAAACCTGACTGGAATTTATAGAGAAGGTTATGATCTTGGAGGTACTTGTAGAACGATGTGGCCGCATGTTTTTCAAGCACTTTAGAGATAACAGGAAGTATCGAAATCGGACGGTAATTATCTGCATCATCACGAGATCCACTTTTATGTAGGGGTGTTACTTTCGCGGTTTTCCATTTGATAGGAAAAGTACCCGATGATATGGAGTAATTCATAAGGCGGCAAAAGGTTGAGACAATACCGGTGCTGCTAACTTTAGTATTCTACAATCAGTGACAAAACACTTTGGACAAAATAGAAAAAAAGAGCGTACATTTACAAAACAATCGACCCCCCGCACCCCCCCGTTCAATGTTGTGTGTGGAAATACCTGCGCAAAATGTTCCTTGCCAGCCACCCAACATTGTTTAGGGTGGGGGAGGGAGGGATAGTGGCTTTATGCTGAACAGTATTTGGAAATGCGGAGATATGTATATATTATACCACTGTCCAAAAACCTTTTGTCACTGATTGTATGCAACTGGCAGAATATTGTATCATAAATATCAAGTATTTATTACATGTTCAGCCTTGATTAAAAATTTAAATTTACCAAGTACCTAAACAAATGTTTACCCATTATTTGGCTGGTCGGCTCATAATAAAGTAATTTCAGTTAAGCGTGATATAGGTATAAATTCATACACGTATAAATGGCTTAAAATGTAGGGTTGGGGAAACCATCCCTTATACCGTGATGCGAGTTTTTGCAGGTCTTAGAAGGTGACACGGTTCATTTTCCAGCCCCGAAAAATCAGATGAGCAAATATATTGTTCTCGAGAGGGACACGCCATTCTTTGCAACGAGTGACGCCCCACTTATTTTAATTAACAATGGATCTATTGATCGCGTGAACACAGAAATGATGAATGTAAGATGGCGAATGTTTCCGCTTCATAGACAAATTCCGCGTGATGAACAAAGAAACATTGCGGCTTGCGCTCGTTGCTTTGCTGAGTTAATATTATACACCGAACAGTGATCTATGAATGATGTATTTTAATTTAACGTAGGCTACATTAAGGTGTTAACAAATATGTATTCTGGTCATCCCTACCTAAGTGGCTTATGACGCATCAACGAATCCCACACGAATCCCAGTCACATTTTATGTAGAAAAGGGAATTAAGTTCAACAATTCTTGCTGTTTTTCTCTCTTAGCTTATTGTAAATATGTCAAAGGAATTGATTATGTGGTTAACTTCGAGCGAAATCAATTTGATTCCATGAAATTCCGACTTTCGTCGAACGATTCCCACTATTTATAGTAAGTTGAAATATGACATCATAATTAGTAAATAGAAAAGTGGGATTCGTCAACTTTTAACCCATTTTCTCTGTCTTTTATAACGAAACGCACGCGTATTTGAAGCCAAAGTATTAATGTATTCCTTACGCACGCAACTGTGTGTTTAAATTCCCAACAACGATCATATATATGTGAGAAAATATGGAAATTATTGCGCGAACATGTGTGGGATTCGTTGATACGGAAATACGATATACAATCCGTTGTCATAGTAACTTTGTCAGTATTTTGTTCTAAAGCCGTCAGCCTGCAATACAGCGTGTATTCGCTTAGGCATGCTTGTGATAATATTATTTACATAATCTACAGAAACATTATATAAACTTTTTATAACTCTAGTCTTAAATTGTTCCCATGTCTCACGCACAATCTGTGAGTCTCTAACTTGAGCATCAAGCTGCTTTTTAACTATGTGAAACATGTTTTCTATTGGATTTAAGTCTGGAGATCTCGCTGGGATACAAAATAACTCACATCCCTCTTCCTTTATAGCTGTCTTAGCTGCTAGGCTTCGCTGAGACGGGTCTTTGTCCATTATGAACCATTTTCGTCTACGCTTGGGCGATAGTAGTGCTGGAAATTATTTTTTACGAACTCAGCGAAATAGGTACCGGTCATTTTCTCATATTCTTCTACCAATACAACCCCATTGTTGTGAGAAATTGCGACCAGTAAGTGAAGCCGTTTTCCACCCGCAAGGGTTTTAGATCCTTTTGCCGTCAATTGTAAACCCTCGCTCTTTCTTCTCCATACACGCCCTCTAGGGGCTAAAGCGTCACTAAGAGGCTGTGTCTTATAAACAAAAGAAACCCCGTCTAAATAGAAGGCAATATTTCGCGAGAAGAATCCGGGCTTTGTGGAAAGGATCTTCTTGCATTGTTGCGCAAACGACTTTCTTTTCGTGCGATCACGGCTTGTTAAAACCCCCTTTTTACGCGCAGGTAGATAATCAAATCCAGCTGCTTTCACCTCACGATAAAATGTCCGATACGAAATATCACGTGACAGCAGTCCGCTGTGCGCAACCAAGCGCTTAACAGTAAAATTTGGGTCTTTATCACGCAGAGTTTTTATTGTTCTTATTAATTTTCTCCGATCTCTATCTGACAGCTTCTTTGGTCTACCAATTTTCTTGCATGTTTTCAAATCTTGCTTGCGCTGAACTTTTCCTCTCAGAATAAGAGAGACTGACGCTTTAGATATTCTTGCTTTTTTAGCAATCGCTCTGCAGGAATATCGTTTCTCTTTACCAAGAAATAGCACATACGCTCGCGTTGTATCTGAAATAGTTTTTTTATATGCCATTATTACTTTGTTTCTATATAACTAGCTCTTATTTATAGCATGCATACTGTGCGCTTTATAATACTACAGCTTTGAGATTAATCCGGATGTTACCGATGACGTTACATTCTCCACAAAAGTAACGTAATAAGCACTTAAAGATAATTGCAAATGCTTCCGAACGTGTTTACCTGCCCTAAATTCCAGATTGCTCTATTAGTTTCGCTTGCAGTTCCAAACTACGAAATTCCCAATGTTGGACTGGTTCTGGAAACGTGCATGAACGCATTATGATTAAACTAGAATAATAACATACAATGTATGCGCAAATTAACCATGTTTACGCTCACCAAAAAAACGGTATCTATTATATTTGTAAACACCATTGGTAATACTATAAAATACAAGTAATTCTAGCTTCTAAAACTGAAATTTTAATTTTGCTTAAAATACCGTTTCGGACAATCAGTGACAAAACACTTTGGACAAAATAGCAAAAGAGCGTACATTTACAAAACAATCGACCCCCCGCACCCCCCTTTCTATGTTGTGTGTGGAAATACCTGCGCAAAATGTTCCTTGCCAGCCACCCAACATTGTTTAGGGTGGGGGAGGGAGGGATAGTGGCTTTATGCTGAACAGTATTTGGAAATGCGGAGATATGTATATATTATACCACTGTCCAAAAACCTTTTGTCACTGATTGTAGCACTTAGGCCATCACAACCAGTGGATTTGTTAGTTGGCATGCTATTCAATGCAGCCAGTACCTGTGTTGACGTAATCGGTGGAATTTCAAAACAATTCTTACCAATCTTTAGCTTTACAAAATCGACTAATTTTCCCCCATCAAATTCGGCATTATTTTGATTACCTTGACTGATTCTAGAGGCAATATTAATAAAAGCGTCATTCATTGCTTCAGCAATTTCGGCTTTATCTTTTACTACCGCATCATTGACCTTTAATTCATCTATTGTTATTGGATTATTTTTCTTCCCACTTAACGATTTTAGCACTTTCCAAATTCCCATAGGATTTCCTTGATTATTTTCTATTGATTCTTGAATAAATTGTCGTTTATAGAATTTAATCATATTTGTAGTTTTGCATCTGGCATGTTTATACAAAGCCCAGTCGGCCGGGATGTTTGACTTACGAGCTTTTTTCAGTAAATTATCTTTATTTCGTATTGAATTCATGATTTCATCGCTCATCCATGCTGGTTGATTTTGCTTTTTGACACGCTTGTGATTCAATGGCATATACATATCAACAACTTCAATAAGCATTTTTTCTATGGAATCAGCAATATCGTTAATGTCGTCAAACTCAAACACAAAAGCCGAGTCCCACGCGGTACACTCGAGTGATTTAAAAAACTCATAAAATCTACAACTCGCTCAACAAGCCGACTATCATAAACGCCGATTCAGAACAATTATACAAGTCCGATGTCCTAAACAACGATAATCAAACAGAAAACTCATCTCGCTCTGAATATTTAATTATGACTTGTCTATGGATCTGGAAGGCGTTAAACTCGATGTTGTAATTAATCAATCTAAGCTTTCAAACAGTATCTCAATAAACCAAAAAGATACTAGCCAAAACACTGAAGCGATCAATCAACTCAGAGACCAATTGTCTAATATGCAAAGCAGAATTGTTGATTAGAAGCCAAACAAGATAATCCCCTACCAAAGAAATTAACAACGAATGAGAATTCCCCGGAGAACAATGAGAGTAAGACTGCCTCGCCGCCAACACAACCTCCATTGAATCAGTTAAACAATGTCGAAATATCGATTATAAAACCCTTGGCCTTGGATGAAAATACAAATCAATCACGCGTTAATTTAGAAAGCAATCAAGATCAAAACGAGTGGTTGAACCCTGCGCTTGATCCCCTAGAACTAAATAAGACAGACAAAATTTCCCACATAAACAAATGTGAAATTAAGGAAGCGACTAACATTCAATACAATGATCAAGGCGAAGCTATTCGAAATGCCGATTGTTCTCCTGAACAAAGTGTCATACGCAGAATTAAACCTAAACCTAACACCAAATACAAATGCCATAAAACATCATTGAATACAATTAATAGTCTAAAACAAATGGCAAACGGCACAACAAACGTCACACACTGCGACACGAATAACAGGATAGAACATAGCGATCAGGATCAAAGCGAAAAGAAATATAAACACAGTCTACCTAGCAAACAACCACACGAATGGTTGAAATGGCTACCTTTGCTTGAGGCCTAGAACCAAATGAGACAGACGAATTTTCATACAGAAATAAATCTGAAATTAAGGAAGCGACTAATGCTCAATTCAACGATCCAGACGAAACTAATTGGCATGTTGAGTGCTCTGAACCACCAAATTTCATCCAGTCTCTCTCTAGAACAAATACAAATAATTGCCTGCGGCCAAACCTGATAAATTTTCGGCAACATCGTTCGAACCGTCGCCCTCCGGAATGACTCAAATATTTGGACCTAGTCAACCAAATAACCAGAACCAGTACGTAATACCTGACTTGGCATATACATCTTTTGGTCCAATTTCTAATCGTTTGAATAATGAGTCTGAAACCATCCCGGTTAGAATAACCAACCGTCGACTAGTACAGAGGTGTACTAACCAAAAACTCAGTCGTAACTTAATACTTATTCCAATAAGGAAAAACAATATATGTGAATCATCAATTCCCTATTCAGTTCCGTGCGCGAAGCGCCGTGCGAGGGTACTAATTCCCCCGGCTATTTACACCCGGGGAAACGAAAGCATTAGAGAAGTCTAAAGTTCATCAATTTTCGCGGGCGTGGGTGACCAACGATGGGTGGTCATCCTCACTGATCTCAAAAATATGGCGGACTGTCATGAATAGCGGACACTGATTCAGACCTTCCAAGTTTCCCGCAATTACCGTGAAATTCCCGCATTTTTGTTTGCTTTCACGCATCACGCATGAAGTGACTTTCTTCCCGCATTTTTTAATCTTAACCTTGTCGAGATTTCTTTATGTGGGGCAATTAGTCCCATTTCATTTGCACAATGTTAAATGCATTCATTTTGCCAACGCCAGTGAAGCCTAACCCAGAAGTCTTGAGAATGTGTGTCTCATCGCATATCAAAAAGAGAGATTGAAAAAGCTGGGAGGCTCCTGAGCCTGAGGAGCCTAACATTTCATATTTTTATAGCATGAACACATAAGGTTTGTGCTTCGAAAAAGGCGAAAGAAAAACCTCGGAAAGGCAAGTTTTCTGGCGACCTGGGGAACTCAAACTTTAAAATTTTCCCCTGGGGAACTCAAACTTTAAAATTGTCCTCGCGGACACTAACCCAAGGAAATTACGTTCCCGCATAAAAATTTTCAAAATTTGACAGGTCTGCTGATTGGTCCAATTTAAAGTTTGCATTATAACGACTGCATGACGACAGCGAAATAGCAAACATTTCTTGATTTGATCACAGGCGGCCCAATCTTACCCTGTGTCATTAATTTATTACGTTATATCTTTATATAATAGTATATTGAAAACAAGGCATATTTTAAGGAATTTACAGTGGTGGGCCAAAATTTATGGTAGGGCCCCCGCGTCCCACCCCCTAAGGTCCATCTCTGAGTATTGAATATTTGTGTAGTAATCGTGTTAAAACGCTTCCTGAACTTATTGAGTATTACAGTGTCACATTCAACACATATTTATGAAATTGAAAGTTTATAGACTAGCATTTTAATAGCTTGTTTAAGGTAAATAATTTTATATTCTTGATGCTAGAATGTAAAGACTGAAGCTGTGGGGGCCCACACAGTGGTGGGCCAATACCCTGTGAGTGGTGGGCCACTTGAGGGGCCTGGTGGGCCAAATGGCCCACCAGTCTATTACTTAAAATATGCCTTGATTGAAAATCATTAGAAAATCCTGTGTTATTAATTTATTACGTTATATCTTTATATAATTGTATATTGAAAATCACTTACATGTGTTTCCTGAAAGATTTTGACGAGAATCGGCCAAGATTGGCGTTGACATGAGATTAACGGCCATGGTTGGGGTTACATGAGGATTAACAGCAGGAAATAATACAAGGCTGGTCACTTTGACCGTTAATTGGACTAATTGGGACAAACGCTGACAGAAATCAATCGAATAACGCGAACTTCGGCTGTCGCATCGTCGCCAAATTACCTTACATCGGAAGAGCGATAATTTTTACATAATATACTTTTCTTTGACAGAATTTAACAAAAACTTCCTGCAGAAAATGGCGAATTGAAACTTACAAATCTCTAGTCTTCCGAGGTTTGTGACCGGTATGAATTCATGGCCTTCAAATTCGAATTACACGCTGCATTGTCATTGGTCGGCTTTCAAAACAACAACAGGACATTTTCGGTAAGAAAGCGAACGTTTGGGGAGTTAGCGAATGGCCTCAGCGAATGTCTTGTTGTTGTTTTGAAAGCCGACCAATGACAATGCAGCGTGTAATTCGAATTTGAAGGCCATGAATTCATATCGGTCACAAACCTCGGAAGACTAGAGATTTGTAAGTTTCAACTCGCCATTTTCTGCAGGAAGTTTTTGTTAAATTCTGTTAAAGAAAAGTATATTATGTAAAAATTATCGCTCTTCCGATGTAAGGTAATTTGGCGACGATGCGACAGCCGAAGTTCGCGTTATTCGATTGATTTCTGTCAGCGTTTGTCCCAATTAGTCCAATTAACGGTCAAAGTGACCAGCCTTGTATTATTTCCTGCTGTTAATCCTCATGTAACCCCAACCATGGCCGTTAATCTCATGTCAGCGCCAATCTTGGCCGATTCTCGTTAAAATCTTTCAGGAAACACATGTAAGCGATTTTCAATATACTATTATATAAAGATATAACGTAATAAATTAATAACACAGGATTTTCTAATGATTTTCAATATACTATTGTATAAAGATATAACGTAATAAATTAGTAACACAGAGTAAGATTGAGCCGCCTGTGATTTGATGAATGATGATTGATAAATTTCTTTCAAAAATATTTCATTTTTGCTCGTATTTTTGCAAGATATTGTAAATTTCAAAACCTTTCTCAGAAAGAAAGGGCGAAAGAATCTGCTAAAAGAAGGGAGCCGACGTTAAAGATGCTGTCAAGTCTGTTCTGCGCATCGGTTCTGCTCATAACAAAGGGGGACCACAGATGTAAACATTGCCCAAATTTCGCATCTTTTGAACATTTTCTGAATTGAAACTCTGGTTTATATTCATTTACGAGCATACTATAATGTTGTCTATAACATTGTTATCTATGCTTTCTTTAATAATCTCTAACAGAACATATCTTACAGTTGCATCTATATCGCCATCTTGCTTACTTCCTCGTGGTCCATAATTAGTGTTCATTATGCTAATTATGCTAATTATGCTAGACACTACATTCCTCCTTTTCTCAGAGTTTTTCACAATTGCAGTTCGTTGTTAATCATCTACCACTATATCTATGTGTTGGTATTTAACAAAACAGAATATGAATGCTAAGACAAATTGTTGATTGTCCAACAGCTATATGACTGTCACTGTCAGCCCTTTCTATTTACAATCAGGCTTAATGATAATAGTTCGGCCTTCTTCGTTCTCTCCTTGGATATTGTCGTTCTAGATTTTGTTGTTCATCTCGGTTGTGATTGTTGTTATTTTCATTGTCTCCAATATCACGTTGTTCTTCATGTTCATCATTATCTTCCATTTCCTCCTCATCTTCAGAAGGCAGCCCAGTTGTTTTAATAGGTTTGAAAAACGATTGGTTTCTAGTAATAGCGAATCCTGGTCTTTCTGCAGTAATCATCGTTCCTTTTACTTTGGTTATTCGTAGTGGTTTGGGATCAAAATTCGGGGTAAATTTGTTGTGCTTTTGTTGCCTTACGAGTACATAATCACCAATGTTCATGGTTGTGGTCTTACTTTGTCTCCGTCGATCTGCATATTCTTTCATGCGTTGTCGTTGTTCTTTATCGCGTTGTTCGATGGAATGATCAAGGGCATTCTTGTCGGTTTTAGTATCAGTCTGAGGTAATCTTGTGCGGGTGTTCCTACCAAACATGAGTGTGGCTGGTGCAACTTGAGTTGTGGTATGAGGAGTAGCTCTGTAATTTAATAAGAATTCCTGCATGGTGCGGCGCCAGTTTTGCTTTTGCAGATGAGCAGTACGAATGGCCTTCATCAGTGGTTTCATGAAAGTTTCGCTTTCATTTGCTTGTGACCATAATGGAGTGATTGTTTTGTGTTGAATGCCATTGTCATCCATGAATTTCTTTATTTCTTTGCTCTGAAACGGTGGACCATTGTCCGAGATAACTTTTTTTGGTAATCCAAATGTGGCAAAGATTTCGTCTAAACATGGAATTAGGTGAGGAGCATCCGTTTTCTTCATAATTTTTGTTACCGGATATCGGGAGCGTCCATCTATTAGGACAAAGAGTGTTTCTCCACTTGGTAACGGACCCAAAAATCAATGTATACAGTGTCAAAGTTCTCCTTGGGTATTTCGCGCATTAACAGAGGTTGTGGTGGTTTTGGACGTCCAGTGGCTTGGCATGGTATACAGCTGTCGATTGCAGATTTGACAAGTGAATCAATTAAGGGGAACCAAACTTTTTCTCGCATTAGGCTCTTCGTTTTAACTATGCCTTGGTGGCCAACATGGGCTAAATGTATGGCATCTGCTCGCAAACTTTTTGGAATAACAATGCGTGTGTCTCGTAAAATGATGTTCTTATCATTAGATACAGTTAATTCATCTTTGACATTACGGAGTAACTTTAGTTCACGAATATCAATGTCTGTGTCTTTGGAAAAAGTTGTGGTGTCTAACGTATGCCATAAGTTTTTCTGTATTATGTGTGCAGCATGTTGCAAAGTTGGGTCATTTTGTGTTGCTTCTCTGATTTGTTGAAGAGTCATTGCTTTTGGGGTTGTTGATTCCGCAATGAACTGAATATAATATTCAGAGTTTTCACTGTCTTGTGATGTCATTGAGGTCGTATTCATTGGGTGTCTTGAGATGTAATCGGATGGGTTATCGTGGCCAGGGCAATAGTGAATTTGGAAATTGTACGACTGTAGGCGTAAACGCCAGCGTTCTAGTCGTGCAGGGCAATGTGAATTTGGATTCTGAAAAATTGATACTAATGGTTTGTGGTCTGTATAGATTGTGAAATGAATTCCATAGAGAAATAAACGAAAATGTTCGCAGCCAAAAACAATTGCCAATGCCTCGCGTTCTGTCTGACTATATCTTTGTTCTACTTCTGTAAGAGCACGACTGCCATATGCAACGACAGTTTCGTCATTTTGGCTGGGGGTATTTTGTATTAATATTGCCGCTAGACCAGTGGGAGAGGCATCTACAATGAGCTTGGTGTCTTTTGAAGGATCAAAGTATGATAAAGTGGTTTTCTCGTTCAATCTTTCTTGTAATGTATCAAACGCATGTTGTTGTGATTCTTTCCATTCGTATTTTATGTCCTTCTTTGTAAGTTTACGTAATGGGGCAGTCAGTGTTGCAAGATCTTGGATAAATCTGCCGCAATATGTTATCATGCCTAAATAGCTACGAAGTTCAGAAACATTCGCTGGAGGTTTGAGAGACTTGATCGCTTCGATCTTTTTAGGACATGGGGATATACCCTGCTTCGAGAAAACATGACCATAAAACGTGATGCTTGGTTTATCAAATTCACATTTGTCACCGTTGAATCTTAAATTATTTTCATTAGCACGCTGTAGAACAGATTC